TCCGCCTTGAGTTTCCGCGCCGCGTCGACTTGCGCGGCGCCGACGCCCTCGTCGATTCCCGAGGGAATCGGGGAAATCGGAGGAGATTTATTTACGGGTGCATTGCCATGTGAGATGCCGCGTACTCAATCGCAGACTCTATCAACAAGCGTATTCCGTACGGCTCCAGTGTCGCGAATACGATTATTTAAGATGTCATTTACGATTGAGACAAGTTATATTTTTACTTACAAATATTTTCTTTGAATTTATCCTGAAAATATGACAGTCATGGGATAATATTGTATTTCGAAGAATTTTCATGTAAATCTCTCTCATTCATTAATAAAACTACAATAAAGTATAAAATAAGTTTGATCAATTTTACTAAAGTGCACAGTAAAAATCTTTACAATATTGTATTGTATCACAATTATCATATTTTCAGGGTAAATTTTAAAAGAAAATTCTCTCTGTGTACAAATTTTGTTAATTACTATTATGATTAACGGTGGCATGTCGATCAGTGGTCTTGTCAGAGATATGAAGTATTCATAGGAGAGATCTTATGTCAAGAAATTAATAATTTTAAGTTTCCAATGTTAAGTTTGAATTAGTGCATTAGAAAACACATACATAAATTTAAAAAAATCATAGGAATTCAATATTTCACAGACTTGAAGATCGGAATGTACGGAACTGAAGTCTGACGGTCTCGGTGTACGTCGCGACCGACATGTGCCGAACGGTAACAATCAGAGCGAAGGAAAAGACAGAATCAGGAAGGACAGGAACTGTGCGGCATCATGTGTTCTCATGAGAAGACGACCATTGTTGCACTGACGAGACCGTGGATCTGGGTCAGCGGTGGGGCCCGCCCGACCCTCCCAGTTTCCCGCGGTTGCAAGCCGCAGCCGTCGTTTTTGCGGTTTGGCGTCGCCTCTTGGAAAGCTAAATATTGTCTTGCGACGCAAGATGGCAAGGGTGACCTAACATGGCCGACAGAGGATAGCGAAGAAGAAACAGCGTAAAACAGTCAGCCACATTGTTTGTCCGGAACTTGAACAGCTTATAACGTGAAGCTCGAGTTCTACTCTTCTAATAGAATTCGAGCATTGTGATGAAAAAGAACAGGAGATGCTATAATATTTAGAAAAAATCTTGATAATTCGAACGAATCGCGAGAGCTGTTTTCAGAGGCAGTAAATCGTTCTATTTGACTTATCATTAATTTAATGAAGTTCCCTTCCTTTCCAGTTTATTAATTTCATAATTTTTTTGAAATTTTTTGCAAAATGTATACTTAACAAAATGATATTTTGTTGTAAACAAATCTATAAATAAATAAATATTTTTGAAACTAACTATTTTTAAGATAAAAATTCTCAATTCATTACACAAAATATTGCAATCGATTGCAAAATCAAGCGGATTGCGTATTAAATTATAGAAAGAGACTACAAATCAGGGCAACCAATCAATGTTGAAATTAATTCTTCCGTTTTCCGAAGTTCTTAATATATTTAAACATCGATAGTATTCCGCGTGTCGCCAACGGATAATGATTTTTTTTTCCAGCTCGCTCCTCTAGCTATTCGTTCCTCCGTTCGTCGTATTATTCTCGTGTATTATTCTTCTCTTCGGAGGAGGCCTCCGGCCAGTTGCCTCATCCGGGAAGGAGGGACCGGTGATTACAGTGAGCCACCGTGATTGCCGAGATCGTTTGACTCACGAAAATGTCATTAGGATTTCATTACTTCCAACCGCCTTGAGGAACGACTGCTCAACGAGTTTATGCAACGTTGTCTCTCGCTTTTCCCTCCCGCTTCTCTCCCTTCCTCGTCTATCTTCCTGGAGAGGCCTCGCCAATCTTAACGTTCTTCTCGTTCATCTATCGCGCGAGATCCAGCACGAAGTAGGTCAGCTGCGCTCGCGATTGTTGGGCAACTGTCACAAAGGATCGACCGGCCTAACGTCATTGGCAATTGACATTTGCGAGGAGATAGAAATTGGTTTTTAGAGATGCACGATTGTGCCAGACTGGGTTGGATTCAGAAAGGTGACGAAAATATCGAGCCGTACTAAAAAGAATCACGCGACCTGGTCTCGGAGTTTATTATTTATCCTGGACGTAATAGAGACGAGGACCGGATGTGGGTCAGGATGGATCTCTAATCTAACTCGCGTTTCTTTTCCATTTTTCAAATCCTGATATCATCGCCACTATTATACTGTCGCATTAATCTCGGTAATCGTTAGAAGTTAAGATATAACTATGCAAGTAATTAAGCAAATTCATACTTTGTTTCAACCAAGTAAATCTCAAAATAATTCTTATTTGTCATACTAATCTGTTTATTCATCAATAACAATGTCGTCCAATGTAAGTCCTTAATTAAACGGAAATCTGAGCAGAAGCAATGTTTACAAAATTTTACAATTTTATTCTGAGAATAAATATGTAAAAGAGAATAATAGTGGCAATACTAAGATCAAAAACCTCAAATTTAATATTTAAAATCTTTACAAATAAAAAATATTATCAATTAGTTGAATTGTAAAATATTTTAATGTTAAAAATCAAGAGATAAATTTTTACAAATAACTAAAAAATAAAAAATAAAAAAAGATAAAATAGGACGCGTTGTAAATATGAGGTTTCTGGTATATATATATATATATATATATATATATATATAGAAATAAAATCAAATAATATCAATTAATACCTAATTGTAGTAATTGATGGTAACGTTGATTCAATACTTTTTCGTAGGAAATTATTGTATCGCGTAATTCATTTATTTGATTAACCATAACGATTAAATTCGGTATGCAATTCCACGCTTGACAAACGGCGGACAACAACATTTTCACAATAAAAACAATTGCTTGGAGGCAATCTCTGCTTATTATAATTAACCGTAGTAATCAAATTAGATCCGATGCACGCAATCACGACAGTCGACACGAACAGACATATAGAGAAGTCGTTTTATTTCCCGGGAAAAAAGATTTCTCGCGACTCTTATTTTTGCGACAACGATTACTTGTCAAACACGAAAAGCGTTACAGTCGTGGCAATCACTCAATCATACGCGAAGCGTTACAAGTACCCTCCAATTCGTAAATCGAACTTCAAGATCATCAATGAACAACGTTTTTCTCAAAGAACTCGCATTACGAACTCGGTCACGGGTAGATTTTCGGCGATTTCACATCGTAAATCGCTGTTACATTATTATTATTATCATTCTTTTTTACAATATTACTTTTTTACTTCACCGTACAACGATGTCGTTCCTGTCTTCCTCCAACTTACGTCCACGATTCCAGTTCGAGGAGGAAACATCCTCGCAGCACAACGAAATGGCGCGCACCGAAACAACGTCACTAATCAGTCAAGAGTCACTCAATGCACGGATCGTTCATGACTTCCGATTTTCCGTGATGTTGTCGACAATCCACGTTGGCTGGAAACTCAGGCGTCGGTCCTCTTCGTCAGCTTCGAGAACATCGTCGTCGATTAGCATTTCTTGGTTGCATTTCTTTCGTCTCATTAGTATTATTATTAATATTTTGCTAAGGGGCGTGTATCATACACGACGTCGCACTGTTTATATCGCTCTCACTTCGACGGACGGCCCGCACGGATACCGGCATGCGGGTTTCATTATACGATTAGAAACAATATTAACATTCAATTTTCCTCGTGAGAGGTACTACACATATTCACACTTTGGGGCGGGACCGCTGGGATACGTTCGCAGCGCCACGAAGAAGTGGCACACCTAAACTCATTGTCAGTTCAAGGGACATCTTCGTTAAACCGCTGGCCATACCCTGCAAAAAGCACAGATGATCGTTTCATTAGAAAATGTTGTGATGTATAATGCAACATTTTGCGAAAATTAAGCTCCTTCTACCTTAAGGCTCTTGGGCCTCAACCATTTTGGATTGATGACGGAAGAGAGAAAAGTACATAAAGAAAAATTCTTGCAAATTATATTAAAATGTATATGTAAATATTATTTTATTAAAAAATATTTTTAATACATTTTCAAAAATTTTCATTATTTTCTTCGTTTCTGCATAATATCAATCTGAATATTCGTGATGAGTAACCAAGAGCTTTATATCTACATTTCTTCCAAATCAATATTGTGTATACAAAAAATTGAATTGCTAATATTTTAATAATTAATTAATTTCGAACCAAGTTCAGTATGTTGCATCTTTCAGCATAAATCTATAGATACATCTATCTGTGCTGCACAAAATGTATTTTTCCTATTCGATCTCACGTCGGTTCTCGCGGTTATTATATATTATTAAAGAGATATGCGGTAACTTTGAAGCTTCCGGAATCACAGCGCGATGAATATTACGGCAAGGCGAGTGAGGTAAATTTGTCGTGTCATGCTGGTTCTTAGTGAATAGGAGAAACGTCGCAACATGTCCCAAGGGGACACGTGACTGGCAGTACCAGTTTGTGTTGAAGCACGTTGATTGACGCGTCGCACTTTAATTTTAAATTGAAAATGTCTATGATTGACTATCGAAGTACTATTCAATTATGCTCACACAGAAATCGCCGATATGAGTTAGCAATTACAATGACAAAGCTTATTATCAAATGCATACACTTAAAGAACGTTGTTCTCTCGATGTACGTGAAACACGATAGATGTTCTATATCTTAGAACGAGATTTATTTATTATATAATTTTTTTTATTTTCTCAATAGCATCGTTATAGATAAAGATCGAAACACAAGTATGTATTCTACAGTTCATACAATCACTTTGAACTTTGTGAGCAACACTCTTCTGTTTAACTTCAGTGTCATTTTCAATCTCAACTCAGTTGCGATTATTCACATTTTCAATCATGACGTAATAAGAATAGATTGCGCATTCGTATAAAGTTGTTTATACTATTAAATGGTTTAAAAAAAGTGAGGTAGCTTAAATCATATCTCCCTCTTTCACATATTGAAGACAGATAGTTGAAGACAGATGCTAATATGCTCAATTATTTCTAACAAAGCACAGATGCTAAGATCAAGGAATCCGCAGTTTATATATTATCTATTCTTCAATACAACATTGGAAACATTAGTTTTCAACATACAATGTATCGTAAAAGTTAAGAGCTACTTTAGATGCATCAATTTCGCAATAATCTCTAGTTTCCGATGCATTAAGCCTGTAGCGACGAAGATTCTTCGAGAAGCAAATTCGGAGAAGCAATCTCGTACTTACGTGAGTAGTCCGGGGTTGGGATCCGCCTGATACCAAGAGTACTGCGGCATGTAACCCGCGTGATGTGGCGGCGGTGGCGGTGGCGGTGGATGATGCCCGGCCGTGTGCGGGTGATGATGGGAATGGGGCGGCGCGTGTGGATGCGGATGGTGCTTCATCTCACCCGGCCAGGAGGGTGCCGGTGGGCTCTCGTTGTGCTGAGGCGACATCTCGCTTCCGGGGCTCGAGCTCCCGGGGGTGTGACCGCCACCCCCGCCGCCCATGCCGCCGAGGTAACCCGTCGTCGGGCTGCCCGACACGGAACTTCCGCCCCCTGTAACACAAACGCGAACCGGGAACCGTTTCAGAATTGCTCCGAATCTCGCGGCCGTCGTCGTACCGTCGACTACCGCGTCGCGTTGCTGCACATGCAGCTGCATGCGCCTGAATGGGACCGGCGTCGCAAATTGTATTAATCGTGCGAGGGAGCGGTATTATGCGATAATGCATCTGGTGGCTGCTACGAGATGGGAAAGAGGTTCCAGACGGTGATTGCGCGTTCGATTCTGCAGGCTCTAAGTCAAGTCGGGGTCTGCTCGGAGAAAGGGAAGTGTATATAGTTCATCCCTGACTGTACACGTCACGTTTTCGTGATATTCCGCCATTTGGGAGCGCTCTGATTTTTATCGTTTCCGAAAGTTTGTGTTACCTTGATACTATTCTTAAGCACGTTACAGTTTTGTACTTATTAGCGTAAGTAATGAGATGTATTATATAAAGTATACTCATATTTATATTCATTTATGTTTATTAATTTTTAACACTCCATGAAAGGGATTAGCGTAAAAATTAATTCAATATGTTAATGCGATGTGAAAATATATTGTAAAAATTAAACTGTAACAAAGCTCACAATATAAAGATAAAATTTGTATGATATATCGAAATCATTACTTGAAACATAATGATGTGCATTGGGAAGTACACGGATGCACTAAATTTCATCATGAAAGAGTGGCATTCCTAGGAAGAGAAATTTCTCAAGATAAAGTTAATTACGTTGACTGTGTCTTTCGTGGTACATTTCCGAATAAATCACTTACTAGGCAAATTTTCGAGATTACCGTTAGTCGCAGAAAGAGAGCAACGGTGAGGCAAGCGGTTTCATCGTTGTCGGCGATACGGACAGTGGCAAAGGCGTGATAAAAAACGCAGACCGCGAAAATTGCGTCGGATCATTAGTATTGTAATTATGGAGCAAAGTGGCGTTCGTGGAGATTGCGGCAGCGATGCGATAAAATGATGGAGCAGCCCCGTCAAGCGCGCAATCATCGCGTACGTTCACCAGTGACATTCAATTAACGCCCGTTATTCAGCCAATTAAAAATGTGCAATTGTTCGCGAAAACATCGTGAGAACGATTCAATTGATCGACGGTAAATTAATCGAAAGCGCGCTCTTCTTAAATATTAATTAAATATTAATTAAGTACGCGATGAGATTTTTCTTTCATGAATTTCTTTTTGTTTCATTCAGATCGGTGTATATTTTATTTACGCAATTGTAAAGTAACGTACCTCCTTGCATGAGACTTCCGGGTTGACCGTGCCAGAAGACTGCCATGCTGACCACCACCGCCACCCCCACTTTGTTGCGCTGCCTTCATCATCTTCTTGTATTTACTCCTCCTGTTTTGGAACCAGATTTTCACCTGCAAGAAAAATTGTAACAGTTATGTTAGAGATAGATATTTTCATGAATTTCGTGAAAAAGTCAGTCATCAAATTTTATTATACATTCCACGCTTTTGTCTAACAACGTCAGACACGACATTTCAAAATTCCAAGAATGACAAATATGAATAATGTTATCAATAATAATTGAGCTGTCCTTCATTTTTGTTATAATAGTGAAGGTAATTTCTGTTAACTTTTCGACAGTATTAAGATAAGCGAGAAAAATAAAAGAATTTTGTGGGGACAAAAAATATCGCGACAAACCGCTACATACATATGCACTTATATTATATCGAATACTCATTAAATGTTTATAGACATTTACATCACATTTACATTTTTACGAGTATAACTGTTATATTATTTTTAAAAAATATCGTTGTTTATTTTCTTAAGTCGGATTAGAAGATTTGAACACACTTTTTACATAAATCATCTCATTCCTGATGTAATGACATGCAATAAATTGTAATACTTTTAAAATACAATACTACTCATATTAAATATAAACATCGTTATCATAAATGCTAATAATTATTATTAATATTATAATTACGAAGCAAAAATCGTCTCATGTTTTATGTTATTTCACGTCGCGTATCATTAACGTGTTCATTTTTGTACCGCTTCCTTTTTCCTTGAACCATTAGCTTGATCCACAAAGTTCCCCCCAAAAGAGGACCGCGAGCGATTTCGTCGAGACGCGTCGCTCGATTATCGACGCGCGATTGGAAATATATTTCGCAACTGCGATGCGCGCAAAAGCGTACCTGAGTCTAATCCGATGCTTCGCATCATCGCTCCGTACTGCCGGGTTAGACGGTGAAGACGAAGGAAAAAGAAAAGAAAAAGAACGTTAGTCGTTTCGTAATCATCGTTTCTTTTGCCTCCTCGCTGCGATGCATAGAACCGCAGCGGCAAAGCAGCTTCGTCGTCCTGTGGCGCGTATACCGGTGCGCACGCGCGACCGCTAGGATTGCACATGCGGTATTTTTTTTGTCTCAGCATCCGCACACATGCACCGCATGCACGTGACGCGCTGGCTCAATCTTACGTAACCCTACCGCGCGAAGTTAAGCGTGTACGTGTACACAGCGAATACGCGAGGTGTACCCGCGTTGTGCGCGGCAGCTCGAACCGAAGCCATATGTTTGGACATGTCGTCGGAATTGGTCCGCGCGAAAGAAATTCTACCGAGAGCGGTAGAACTTCTTTTTCTCCTGCGCGACATTTCCTTTTATATTTTTATTTAATTATAAGTGGACATTAGACCAAATAAGAACAAATCAAATAAGAGAAAAAAAATCTTATTTTCGATCGAAGCGAATCTTTGCTGAATATTTATATGTAGAAACTAAAAAAGATGCAATAATTATAAATCGAAGTTGGAAATAATATTAACAAATTATGTTGACTATCAATTTAATTAATAATGTCAATAAATATCTTGAAACACTGCAAAAACTGTTTTATTTTATAAAAATCTTACATTCGACTTCACAATTATTTCTAGATTTTCGCTATCTTTTTCGTATATTATTCGCATCGATAGATCGTTCAATCTCTCCAAGAATAAAGTTCTCTTATCAACGAAAAGTCGATTTTTATTTTTAACTGTTTTCCACAACCTCCTGTCCTTGACATGTTCATTATTCCACATTGCATACACACATATTCGTTATTCCACCGGATTTAGAAATATTTAGCTACACCGGATGACTTAGACGAAAACAGAGACATGCTTTTTTATTAATAGCACACCACGCCTAATGACTTTTTAACGAGCCTATCCGCTATACTTGTATAACCATTCGGGCTTACTCGATCAAACTTGATATTCCATCGCCACGTCGATCAAACGTTGCGATCATAAAACACGAGATGAATACAGTGAATACGTGCCTCTATTCACCAGGTACGAAGAATGTTTTTTTCATAATTAAAGATTACTCTCCTTTCATGGCAATCTTAGTCTCGTCGAACAATGCATTCACATGCGGTAGGAATGTAAATTATAAAATAAATTATACCGTTATGTATGTATATATATATATATATATGGCTATCTATTAATTATCAAGCAATCAATAAAGAAACTTTTCATTGCGGAAACCTGCGCAAGCGAAAAAGCAACAATTAAACGTTTTTATTGTTTCAGTCATCTGCTGATTAGCATAACATTTACACGATCAATCTATCGAATGCATTGACGATATCGTTGATAAAATATTTACAAAGCGTGATAAAACAGAAAAACGTGACTTCTTGTAATTAATACTTGAACTTGTTTTTTTACTTTTAATGAACTCGTTTGTACATGATGTTTGCTACTATTTCACGATATGTTTCAACCGTCTGACTCCTTATTTTTTAACATCCCCTACCGACTGAATGAAACGACTTAGTTAATTAAAGTAACTGTCCAGCTTGGATTGACGTCCAAAAATTAAAAAAATTGACACGAACACATATATATGCATACTATAGTTTATTACATAGTAAAGGAATCAGATTAACGCGGTGAGTGATGTAAGTCTCGACTAAACAATCGTTTTCAGTGATTATTTGACAACAATGTCAAATAATACTTTAAAAAACGGAGAAAGAAATTCGTTTGAACATTTCGACAACTTTCACAATTGTCAGGTAAATTAGCAATATTAGGCAAATAAAAGATCAGTGAAATATGGAAAAACATTTATATATAATCATACAAATTTGCAAATATCCCAAATAAAGAAGAAAAGAAATTTGAGTTGAGCGATTAAAGATAAAGATAATATAACTACTTGGTCAAATAGAATTCTCACTTTTCACATATTTTTCTAAAATGTGAAATAATAGTCTAGGACGAATTGAAAATCGAAGATTTAAGTTAATGGACTAATTGGTAGATACGGTGCATTTGCATTATACATAAGGATTAAGAAATCAGAAATAAAATACTGTTTTAGTTTTGCGAAACACACATCGTCACATTTCATAGCCTCTTCACCGAAAGAAATATTTTTACCAATATACAAACACACGCATATATATATA